GTCACTAAGTCAAAGTAATAATTTTTTTCCTCACTGTTCCCTCCTTCAACTCTAATGCTCCGTTTCAATTCAAATCAAATTTTATTTTAATTGGAAAGTACCTGGGCATCATCCTACTGACACCAATCAAGCAGACAGGATAATTGTCCTGAATGTTGGGCATGCTTCAGGAAAACCAAGAACTTTCCCCTTCATTTTCATTAAACAAGGAAGAAGGAATTTCAAATAACATCATGGCGTATAGGTGCCCCTTTGTGGAGGGTAGTCTGGCCTTAATGAGTCACCCTGCTCCACAAGTCATTTCTCCACAACAAATTCAAGGACGTTTTTCTCAAAGGGGCTAGGAATAACAGCCTTAGGGGATTTGTCATGTTCCGTTAAAGCCTTCCTTTCCTTCTCATCACACACACAAAGACACCCACCCTCATCCTCACACCATGTACGTAACTATGTTCCTTGACCCATCAGAGTATTCAGTGGTTTACATTGTCGAGTATTCAGCCCACAATACTTATAAAACTCAATGGAAAACATCTGCTTTATAAAGTTCTCTTTGGAATTCAGCATCAACAATTCTGGTTCTGAAAGGTGAGTGTAACATTCATGGATTTTCTTTAAATTTTTACTTGCTCAGGGAGAAATTAGAAATAAAAGAAACTCACCAACTTTAGCTCTTGACCCTGTGGAAACTGTAGCCTCAGCAAGAGATGCACGGCAGAATGGACATTCTGGGCACCCAAACCAAACTGCCCAGCAGTCCTCAGAGCAGTGCAAATGGTCTGCGGCAGCCAAAGCCACTGCTAAGCTTGTGTAACTGAAACTCTGAAAAGGAAATCAGGAAGAAACCACCTAATATTCAGGTTGGGTGAGGCTTGCCTATGCCCTCTTTTCATCATCAAAAGTGACCCATGCACTGAATGAAAGGATAGCTGAGAGTCAGAGATCCTGACCCAGGTGGACGAGCATTAATGGGATGCCAAAAGAAAGAGCTCTAAAAAGAACTCTAGGTGACCAGTGGAGAGGAAACAAGAATCAGCTGTCGTATTATGCATCTGAATGGCATAGTTCAGAGCTAAGAAGGCATCAGCTACTGTACTTCCTGACTTTTTTCTGGATTTGTGGTAAAATTCTCCTGACAAGTGTTGGAAAAAAATTATATTATGCTTCTCATTGAAAATTAAATAATCAAAAATCTACCAACACTTCATTTTTACTTAATGAAAAATAGTTTTTTACCTACCACGTATGACCAAACACCTTTGAGTACTTTACAGATTTCATTTCTTTTCATCTCACAACAAAGCTGCACTATAGGGCCAATTATTCCCATTTATGAATGGAAAAACCGAGTCAGAGAAATTAAGTGTCAGGTACAAGTTAAAACAGCTGTCCCATGGTGGCCCAGGATCTGAGTTTTCTGGCTCCAGTCTCCATGACTCTGCTGTCAGCACAGATTGAGGCTCACACAGCTTCAGTCAGAAGGCAAACAGTACTAATGCTGCTTAGTGCTTGGCCCCATTCCTCAGACCAGAGTATGTTCAGAGGCTTTCAAGGAAAATTGGGAGTGATCTGAAAAGTTGGCCACAGGTATAGTGGCCAAAGGAATTACAGATGCTTAATTTTAGAAGAAGGAAGGCAGCATAGGAACACTAGCTGTATTCAAATACTTCGAAGTTTTCTTAATAGAAAGGAGATGGTTTGTACCATTAAACTCATAAGGGATCAGTTGATAAAGATTAAAAACAGACTTTTAATGATGGAAGTAACACCAATGGCAGTAAGCTGCCTGTTATTACAGTAATCTAAGTGCACTTAATGAAGATCAGTCAGAGAAGAGATAGAACACACTCTTTAATGAGCTGCAGGTTCTCACCTATTCAGTTCATTATACCTCACAATTCATTCAGTCAAAGAACTAAGTCCCACCATTGGACATACTAAATGATTTATTATTCTAAAGTAAAAAAAAATTAAATTTTTAAGAAATGAAGACACTTTGAAGATAATTGGTACTATTTATCATTTATGATAAATTTTAAAATCTTAAGAACTGACATAATGTTGTTAGCAGTCTTTCTATGAAAATTAGAACCAATAACACTGAGCAGAAAATTCCAGTGTCATGTTAACGTGACTCTTAAAAGCACAAAAGTTTCAAGGAAGCATATCTGGGGAGATAAGCTTAGAAAAGTAATCAGGGATACATTATGAAACTCTGTGAATACCATACTAGGAGTTTGATATATATATTCCATCTAGTATTTTGGTTATGAAGATTACTCAGGAATTTTGGATTATTTTACTGACAATATTAAGGAAAAATGTAAGTCACAAAATGCAATATATACTATGATTACAAATATGTAAATACTACTTACAAATGCCCCCAAATTAAAATAAATCCAAATAGATTGTGAAGGATTGTTAAAGATTTGTTGGTGAGTTTTTCTTTAGTTGTTAATTACACGTAAAAAAATTAAAAGAAAATGCATGCACAAAGTATTTGTAAATCTGTAAATCTTACCTGTAGGAATTGTTATTTAGCTGAAATTAATAGAAAGGAAATATGGGCAAGAGAGAAATTTTTAGATCACTAAAATAAATTGCAATTTGAAACTTTTTATTTTATAATATTTGAAAGAAATGTTTTAAAAAATTTATACTTTTAATAAATATAACTTTCTTTTCTAATTTTCTCTGAATCTTTAGTATGCCCTGGAATTTTTGGATTAGACTGTAGTACTTTCTCTGGGTCTTCCCTTATTATTTATCATTAATTTTACTGTCTCAGGACTGCTTCAAAACACAGGAACTTTGCCTTTGTCACAACACAAGGGCAATACATGAAGGTAATAAGCTTTTTAATGAAAATGCAGCCAAGACTCAACAAAACATTGACCATTGAGCACCTTGGTTTAGGATTTTCATGATTGCAAATCACGGAGATATACTTACCTTAGAGCATAGAATTTACTTCTTTTGAGTATGCCTTAAGAAAAATACCTAGGAATGGAATTAATTTAAAAATGTATTACATTTTATTTTATCCTCCTGACGCTTCATCCAATTTGTGGGATTAGTAGTTCTGATAGTAAAAAGTTTTGAACATTTAAATGTGCAAAATTAATGGATGATTAAATTAAGATCTAGTCACTCAATGCATTATCATGCAGATCTCAAAAATTATGTTTGTGAAGAAATATAATGTTATAAAATTCTTCTTCTGAAATGTAAAGTAAAAATACCAGTATGAAAAATTTATCTACAATGTTATAAAAAGCTATCTTAAAATATATCCAAAGTGAAAAATTCCTGGAAAAAATTACCAAATGTACAATACTTGACCTGTGTGATAATATCCAGATTTGAGAGTAATGTTTCTTTTGAATTTTAAAGTGTTTTTCACCAACATGGTTGTACAATTTTTATTTAGAATCAAAATAAGCTATTACTTTGCTTATACTATTATTACTATCTTCAGTGTCTTTCTTCTCTACAAGGCCTGTTTCCTCTGGAGAGGGAACCCAGTTATATTCTCTGTGGTACCCCACAGCATATTCATTACAACAATCATGCATTCACTCTTAACAAATTTTTCTTCAGCGCATTTTATTCCCATGCACTAGTTATGTGATACAGGGATAAAATACACAGTTATTGACAAGAATATGTAACTAATGATTGGGAAGAGTGAAGCGCAAGTAAGCAAACAACAACAAAAACCATAACCTAGTATAAATAATGGCAATCTAGACATCTTCAAAACTGATGTCAACACAAATAAAAGTTATCTGATTAATGCTTAAAAGTCAGAGAAGGCTTTGGAGAGAAACGAATCTTGAAGAATGAGTAGAAATAACCCAGAGTAATCATGGTGGGAGGTTGGGAGCTATCCAAACAGGAGAAAAAGGAACAAAGGCAAAAGAGACTGGACTGCCTTGTGGGGACTCTAAATGGTTCAGGAAGGTTGGATGAGTGCATGTTGGATGGAAATAACCTGAGAGACCAGCAATCTCTCTGGTATGTATGTAGCACTTTCTGATACATACAGCAGAAACATACATACAGTTTTGAAGATGTCTAGATTGCCATTATTTATACTAGGTTATGGTTTTTGTTGTTGTTTGCTTATTTACACTTCACACTTCCCAATCATTAATTACAGCAGGGCATGTATCAGAAAGTGTGCACTGTGCTGTGCTAAAAAGGTTAGGTTTCATCTTGAAGGCTTGAGAAAGCACTGAAAGACTTAAAAGAATCCCTTTGGCATCATCTATTTTTTTCACTTTGGCAAGAGATCACTGTGGCAGATGTACTGTGAATTTTAAGGGGATAAGAATGAATACAGAAGGTAAACAGATAAATACAATAAAGAGGAGAATGACCAGGGCCTTGACTAAAGTAGGGACGCTACGAATGGAAGTGAGGAGATGAAGAAATAAAATTGGGAGCTAAAATGTAGGTAGAATCAGTAGGATTTTTATTAGATGTGGGACAATGAGAAGAAGAAGGCTGGGATGATTCTCACATTTCAGACGTGACAGATTGGGTGGACAGTCTTGTCATTCCACAGATATAGAATATAGGAAAACTGGTCCAAGAAAAGGATGAGTTTAGTATGGAGGAAGCTGAGTTTGGAGTATCTGTTGGATTTCCAATTGGAGACTTCCAATACATAATTGAAACTGTAGTTCTGGACCTTGGGATAGAGATCTGTTTAGGAGACAAGGTTAGAGATGTGTTTTAAAATAAGTATTAGATAAAGAAAAGAATATAACTGAGATCCCAGAAAGTGAGATCATATCTTTTTCCTTTTATGCAAAGAAAAAAAGTCCTGTGAGCACCATATTTACAGGCTGGGCAGAGGACGAAATCACTGTAAATGAGTCTGAGGCATAATCAAAGAACACCAGGAATGCGTTGAAAGAAAGCACAAAACTAATGAACATTCCCATTTTCCTCAACAGGAAAAATTCACAAAAGAGATGGTGAGAAACCGCACCAGTGTGACAGAGTTCATCATTTTGGGGCTAACAAAGGACCCTACACTCTGTGTCATATTCTTTGTGATATTTCTAGGAATCTATGCTGCCACCTTAGTAGGCAATATAAGCATAATCACTCTAATAAGAAGCTGTTCCCAGCTTCACTCTCCCATGTACCTCTTCCTCAGCCATTTGGCTTTTGTGGACATCGGCTATTCCACATCAGTCACACCTCTAATGCTTGTAGGATTCCTTGGACATGAAATGGCCCTCCCAGTCACTATCTGTGAAGCTCAGCTCTATTCTGTGGTCACATTTGGGACAGCTGAGTGCTTCCTGCTGGCTGCCATGGCCTATGACCGCTATGTGGCCATCTGCTCTCCCCTGTTCTACTCCACCCACATGTCTCCGAGAATCTGCATTCTCTTCGTGGGGACTTCCTATCTGGGTGGGTGTGTGAATGCTTGGACATTTACTAGCTGTCTATTGCGTCTGTCTTTCTGTGGACCAAATCAAATAGATCATTTTTTCTGTGATTTCTCCCCTTTGTTGAAACTTTCCTGCTCAGATATCTCCATTATTCAAATTATCCCTTCTATTTCTTCTGGCTCCATCATCGTGGTTACTGTGTTTGTTATAGCTCTCACTTACGTCTGCATCCTCATCACCATCCTGAAGATGCGTTCCACTGAAGGACGACACAAAGCCTTCTCCACCTGCACGTCCCACCTCACTGCAGTTACTCTCTACTATGGAACTATTACCTTCATTTATGTGCTGCCCAAGTCCGGCTACTCAACTGACCAGAACAAGGTGGTGTCTCTGTTCTACACAGTGGTGATCCCCATGTTGAACCCCCTCATCTACAGTCTGAGGAGCAGAGATGTAAAGGAGGCTCTGAGAAAGGTAACTGTCAGAATATATTCTTAGGATCCATTTTTAGCATTTCAGGTGACGTGTAAAATTTTTGCTTACCAGCATCACACTTAGGACCTACAAAATGCTAACTGCTTAAAGTGAAACCACACGTTTTTTAACTCTCACTTATATATACTTGTAAACCGCTTGAGGGAGACCTTGAAATCAGTATAATGATAGGAGTAATTATCATTATTATTGAACACCTTTAGGTGCCAAGTACTTTTTAAAATTTAATTTATTTAGCAAACAATAATTTGAACTAACTATGTGCCAGGCCTTGTTCTAAGGCCATTGCATATATTAACTGGTTTATCCCTCATGAAAACCCTGTGAAATAGCACTATTATTTCTTTTTACAAACAAATAATCTGAGGTACAGAGACGTTAAGAACATTGCCCCAAATCATGCAGCTAGAAAGTTGTGGGACCACATACCTCCTAAAGCAATCTATAGATTCAACACAATCCCTATCCAAGTTCCAACAACATTTTTCACAGAAATAGAGCAAAGAACCCTAAAATTTATATGGAACAACAAAAGACCCCCAATAGCCAAAGGATTCCTGAGAAAAAGAACAAAGCTGGAGGTATCACACTCCCTGATTTCAAAATATACTACAAAGCCATAGTAACCAAAACAGCATGGTACTGGCACAAAAACAGACACACAGATGAATGGAACAGAATCGAGAGCCCAGAAATAAACCCACACATTTATGGACAGCTAATATTCGACAAGGGAACCAAGAGCATACGATGGAGAAAGGAGAGTCTCTCCAATAAATGGTGTTGGGAAAACTGGACAGCCACGTGCAAAAGAATGAAAGTAGACTATTCCCTTACACCTTGCACAAATATCAACTCAAAATGGATTAAAGACTTGGATGTAAGACCCAAAATCATGAAACTTCTAGAGTACGGTCTTTGACATCAGTCTTAGCAGCATATTTTCAAGTCCCATGTCTGACCAGGCAAGGGAAACAAAAGAAAAAATGAACAAATGGGACTACATCAAACTAAAAAGCTTCTGCACAGCAAAGGAAACCATCAACAAAACAAAAGGACAAGCTAATAATTGGGAGAAGATATTTACAAACCATATATCAGATAAGGGGTTAATATCCAAATTATACAAAGAACTCATACAACTCAACAACAATAAAACCAACAATCCAATTAAAAAATGGGAAAAAGATCTGAACAGAGATTTCTCCAAAGAAGATATACGGATGGCCATCAGGCATATGAAAAGATGCTCAACATCATTAGCTATCAGGGAAATGCAAATCAAAACTACAATAGGTATCACCTCGCTCTGGTCAGAATGGCTATAATTAACAAGACAGGAAACAACCAATGTTGGAGAGGATATGGAAAGATGGGAACACTTGTACAGTGCTGGTGGGAGTGCAAACTGGTGCAGCCACTATGGAAAGCAGTATGAAGTATCCTCAGAAAATTAAGAACACATCTACCATATGATCCAGCTATCCCACTGCTGGGTATTTATCCAAAGAACTTGAAAACACAAAGGCATAAAGATACCTGCACCCCTATGTTCATTGCAGCATTATACACAATAGCCAAGACTTGGAAGCACCCTAGGTGCCCATCAAAGGACAAATGGATAAAGCAGATGTGGTATTTATACACAATGGAATACTACTCAGCCATAAGAAATGATGAAATTTGGCCATTTCTGACAACATGGATGGACGTTGAAGGTACTATGCTGAGTGAAATAAGCCAGAGGGAGAAAGTCAAATACTGTATGATTTCTCTCATAAGTAGAACATAAAAACAATGACAAACAAACACATAGCAACGGAGAATGGATTGGTGGTTACCATGGGGGAAGAGGGGAGGGCAAAATGGGTGATTAGGCTCACATGTGAGGGGATGGACCATAATTAGTTTTGGGGTGGTGAACATGATGTAATTTACACAGAATTTGAAATATATTATGATGTACATCCAAAAGCTATATAATGTAATAACCCAATGTTACTGCAACTAAAAATAAATAAATAAAATGCGAAAAAAAAAGTTGTGGGACCAGTGTTTGAATGCGAAAGTCTGGGTCCAAAATTGCTATGTTTCTCCATATAATTTTCACAGCAATCCCATGATGTTGCTATTGTAATTTACCTCAATTTACAAATTAGACTACTAAATATTAGAGAGATCAAATAATTTGGAGAAACGTGTAAGCAAATCCTCTGGTTCTATGCACTTTATACTATAACATCACAGGTGGTCTAATGACTTTAGCACTATTACTGATCTAGAGGCTTTGAGCAGGGTAATCAAGACTAAGCTGTTACTGTGTATCATTCTTTTGAACAAATTCCACCTCCAAGAATGTCCAGGTTGTGAAGACTCCAAAAAAATATGAGGTTGGGAAAACTGGACTGATTCCCATCTCTTAGGAAATCATGTCTGGACACCACAATTATATGATTTGACTAGAGGTCTATCCATAATTAAACACATGTGAAAAACAAATAGTCCCATTTGGCATAAGGTAGTCTCCTTTATTTGTAGGAATTGAAAATGGTACTTTAAATCTAAGCATTACAATTAATATGTTAACAAAAATCATAGTTCTATAGTGTGGATTTATAAAGAAATTAGAACACATGAAAAAGATAGAAATGTTGTCAAAGATTGCACTAAATGTTTTTCTTGAGTAATGGTCTGCCCTCATTTACATCATCACTATGAGACAGGAAAGAGTGAGGAGAGATTTTTCTGGAATACAGGAACTCCCTACTCAAAGCATATACTGTTTAGAGCTTTGGAAAGCAAGATTTAGACCATAAAAGTCTTTGTCTCATGGTAAAGGAGTGAGAGAAGTGAAGATTGGAAGATATAAGAATAAAATCTAACAAAATGGAAAATATTTATAATATACTGCTAAGTAAAAATGTAGAGTATCTACAATATTTTTGCAAATTTTAAGTGGAAAATACCTAACAAAGACTAAAAGATCGAATGGATAAATTAAAATGTGAAATGATTAAATAATGGGTGAAGGAAAACTATTTCTCTACTCACAACACTTTTAACAGCAAATATGTGGTGTTTTTTCCATTCTACCAACCAAGTGGAAAACCCATGTTTTCTAAGTATCCTAACATCAATCTGATGCCCTAGTCTTTAATTCAATTGGATGTAACTACCAGGAGGTAGTGTCAGACTTCACAGGTTTAAGGACTCAGTCCCACAAGCCTACCCTTACTTCAGACACCAATAGCAAGCAATGGGTCCCCAGGGTATCCACACTTCTGTCCAACTTGGCTACAAAGTGAAGGGTTCCCACAATCCTCTTACAGGTTTGATAATTTGCTGAGATGGCTCACAAAACTCATGGGAACATTTACTTACATTTACCAGTTTATTATAAAAGATATTATACAGGATACAAATTAGCAGCCAGATGCAGAAATACATCGCAGGAGTTCTGGAAGTGTCCCCAGGGCAGGAGCTTCTATCACCATAAGTTGAAGTGTACCACCCTCTTGGCACGTGGGTGTATTTAACAACCCAGAAACTCTCCACTTTGTGATTTCGGATTTTTATGGAGGCTATATGACAAATATTAACTCAATCTTCAGCCCTTGTCCTACCCCCCCCCCTCAGAATATGGTGTGGGCAAATAATTTCAAGCTTCTAATCATAGTTTGGTCTTTCTGGTGACCAGCCTCCATCCTGAGGCTATCCCAGAGACCACCAAGAGTCATCTCATTAGAACGAAAGATGCTCCTATCACCCAGAATATTGCAGAGGATTTAGGAGCTTTGTGTCCGGTACTGGGGTCAAAGACCAAATATTAGAACAAATGATACTCCTAGCACCCCTATCACTCAAGAAATTACAAGGATTTTAGGAGCTCTGTCTCCAGAACCAGGGGCAGAAACCAAAGATATATTTCTATTATGTCACACTCTACCTCCTAGTGATCATAAAAGTCTAAAGATACTGACATATTACTAGAATCCCATTGAGTCATTAATGATTATTTGCTCCATTATCATATCATAGGAAAATGTTTACCAGGGCAAGGCTATTCAGGTTTACAGACTTCCATTTGATATTGTTGAATTCTAAAAGCAGGAATGGTTTCAGCAATATATGGCCTTCACCCTTTCAGGCATCTGATACCATTGAGCTAAGAGACAATATCATCTCTTGCTCTGAGCCTCTTTTGAGGTGTTAATGTAATATTGATTTTTTACAAACAGCATTTGAAATTATCCTGTAAAAATTCCAGGCATATGTTGACTCCCATGACATCTCAGAGCTTCAATTATGTGAATCCTAAAGTCCTGAATATAAAGATTGACTTTCCTCTGGACACTTTGGATCCATATCTCAGAGATCAGAGTGTTCATAGGTGTCCTGTGTTTTACCTCAGGTATCATTTGGGTTTTGCTAACTGGTAATTGATTTGAGTCAAAGACCAGTGACAAACTGTAATTTCCAGATCTGTTAAGATTTACGTGTGCTTATTGGCATGTTTATCAATAATTCAGGGAGAAGGTAGGGGTAGGGACCTTAAACATTGATAATTTCCTGACATTGTGATCTCAAAGTCTCTGAGAAATATTTGATCAAGACCTTGAAGTCATTTTACAGGTAGATATGTAATAGTCATTTATCCATTCATTTCAAAAATACTTATTGAGCTTTTATTATATTCTGGGAACTCAACAAACACTAAAGATATGTTGATGAATAGAACAGAGTTCTCATGCAGTTTAGATTTTAGTAGGAGAGACACTAAGGAATAAATAAACACTATAAATACAGAACATGATAAGTGGTGTGAAAGAGACAAGTCGATTGGGTTGATATGATGCATAAAGGGTAACTATGGAGGTGTGGGTAGTGTTACCTTAGAGAAAGTGACAAGGAAGTCCACTTGGAGGAGAGTATGGATGAGTGGAAAGTTGAAAGATGAGAAAGACCTATTGAGATGGAGAGTGGGGGAAAGCTGCCAGACAGAA